ATATGGCCAATCGTGAGTTGAAAGAGAGAGTCGAAGGATTGGAGGGCCAGTTCAGGGCCATAAGCGAAAGCATGGAGGGTCGATTTGGTTCGCTCGATGAAGGACAGACCAACACCAATGCTACTGTGGCTCGTCTCGAGCAGCGCCTGGAGGAGGTGTTGCGCGGGTTCCAGCAACAGCAGCAACAGGAGCCACCACGAATGAATGCACGCGAGCGTTTGAGACAACAGGAGCAGCAGCGGGCTGAGCACCACCCCGACGAGGAGGAAGAGTACGAGCAGCGGTCGCAGGCGTCGAACGCTCATGAGCGACCACGCGTTGAGAAGCTGAGGATCGTGCTCTCAACGTTCACGGGAACCAACCCTGACGCTTGGCTGAACAGGGCGGTGCATTCTTCGATTTAAATGAGATGCCGCAACGTGACTGGGTTCGTTATGCCGCGTACTATTTAGATGGTGAGGCCAACGTGTGGTGGCAGTGGCTCACGCGCGTGTATCGCGGGCGACAATAACCAATCCGTTGGGAAGATTTTGAACGAGAGCTCCTTACGCGCTTTGGAAACTCGGACTATCATAACCACGACGAGGCGCTAACACGGATCCGGCAGACGGGGAGTGTACGTGACTACCAAAAAGAGTTCGAGAGATTGGCGTGCTGGGTTCGCGGGTGGCCGGAGAGCGCACTTGTTGGCGCGTTTGTTGGAGGGCTTAGATATGATCTCGCGGCTGAAGTACGATTGGAGAGACCAGAGACCATGCATAAGGCCATGGAAGTTGCTAGGAGACGGGAGGATCACTTGGCCGCAACTCGAAGGGGACGGGCGGACTTTCGAGTCCCGGAGCCGCGACGTGTGCCGGCGACCGTGGGCGCACCTAGTGCGAACGCGAGGCCGCCGGGCGCCTTTAGGCCACCGGCAACCGAGGTAAAGAGGTTGACGGAGGAGGAGATGGCACGGAGACGTGAGAAGGGGTTGTGTTTCCGGTGCGAGGAAAAGTACACACCGGGATATCGATGCAAGCAGAATTACTTGATCGAGTTTGTGGACTTGGATGACGAGGAGCCAGTGATCGAGGAAGAACGAGAAGTGGAGGTCGAGGTGCTCGATGATGAGGCCGAGATCTCTGTACACGCCATGGCAGGTACCAAGGGGCCGAGGACGATGCGTTTGCCGGCGTGGGTGAAGGATCAGCGGGTGACTGTGCTCGTGGACAATGGGTCGTCGCATAACTTCATTAATGCAACGCTATCTCACAAGCTTAAACTACCCACGTCCATGGTCGAGCCATTCGAGGTGCGGGTGGCTAATGGAGAGAGACTGCGGTGCTCGAAGGTGTACCGAGGCGTGCCAATCAAATTTCAAGGAGTAACGGTAAAGGCGGACCTGTTTTCCTTACCATTGGTGGGACCTGATGTGGTGCTTGGTGTGCAATGGCTCGAAGGGCTCGGTGACGTAATGACCAACTATCGGAAGGGCGTGATGAAGTTCGAGACCGATGATAGGTTGGTTACCTTGAAAGCGAGCGAGGGATCGACCAAGGAGGTTGGTCTAAAAAGCATCGAGAAGGTGTGGCGAGGTGGCGAACAGTTGTATGCTGTCGTGGTCGAGCAGACAGGCAAGGATGCGGAGGTGATCTAGAAGTTTGATCATGTGGTCGAGCAGACAGGCAAGGACGCGGAAGTGGTCGAGGAGTTCGACCAAGCGGTCGAGGAGAGACAGCGCGAGGTGCGTGACTTGCTCGAGGAGTTCGACCAGGTCCTCGACGAGCCCAAGGGGCTGCCGCCACACCGAGAGTTCGACCACCGCATACCTTTGGTCGAGGAAGGTCGAGCAGTGCACGTGCATCCGTATCGATACGCACACTTTCAAAAGACGGAGATCGAGCGACAGGTGGGCGAGATGCTCAAGTCCGGGCTCATCCAGCATAGCTCGAACCCGTTCTCGTCACTGGTGTTGCTCGCAAAGAAGAAGGACGGAACTTGGCGGTTCTGCACGGACTACCGCGCTCTCAATGCGGCTACTGTGAAGGATCGTTTCCCTATTCCGAGCGTCGACGACATGCTGGACGAGTTGGGTGGCGCGCGTTACTTCTCTAAGCTCGACCTACGCGCGGGCTACCATCAGATCAGGTTGGCCAAGGAGGACGTGCCCAAAACGGCTTTTCGCACGCACCAAGGGCACTACGAATATCTCGTGATGCCCTTCGGGTTGTGCAATGCACCTTCGACCTTTCAGTTTGCCATGAACTCGATTTTTAAGAGGTACCTACGTAAGTTTGTATTAGTATTCTTTGATGACATTTTGGTGTACTCGAAAATATGGGCAGATCATCTCGAGCACTTGCGAATTGTCTTGGGGATTTTGGAGGCTAACTCATTCTACATCAAACCGTCCAAGTGCTCGTTTGCTCAAGAAGTGGTCGAGTACCTCGGACACTTTATTTCTCATGATGGCGTTAAGGTGGATCCAAGGAAAATCGAGGCGATGGTGGGATGGCCGAAACCCACGAGCTTGACGCAGTTGCGAGGGTTCCTTGGTCTCACGGGCTATTATCGAAAATTCGTAAAGGACTATGGGACCATCGCAAAGCCACTTACGGATATGACGAAGAAGGGAGCCTTCAAGTGGACGGAGGCGAGCGAAAAGGCTTTCGAGGAACTAAAGAAGGCCATGACGACCACACCCGTGCTCGCAATGCCGAGATTTGATGTGTTGTTCGAGATTCACTCGGATACGAGCGATATTGGAATCGGAGCGGTTTTGGTGCAGGAAGGACGACCCTTGGCCTATCTCAGCAAAGCACTCGGGCCAGCGCGCTTAGGGTTGTCCGCATACGTAAAAGAGATGCTAGCCGTGGTCGAGGCCATGCGCGTATGGAGGCCGTACTTGCTGGGGAGGCGCTTTCGGATTGTCACGGACCAACAGCCACTCAAGCACTTGCTCGAGCAAAGGATCGTGACGCCCGAGCAGCAGAAGTTCATATCCAAATTGATGGGGTTCGACTTCGAGATAGTGTATCGGCCCGGTCGCCAGAACACCGTGGCCGACGCATTGTCTCGACGGGAGGATGTGGCCGAGCTCGACGCGTGACGGGGCCGACGTGGGCCGTATGGACAGAGCTTCGGAAGGCACAAGACGAGGATGCACATTGCCGGGACATGATCGAGAAGCTGAACGTAGGACACGACGAGGACGAGGACCATGACATGCACGATGGCTTGCTCCTTTATCATGGTCGAGTCGTCGTGCCCGAGGCGGGACCGTTGCGCGAGGACATCATCCGGCACTTCCACGATTCGAAGTTTGGAGGACATTCCGGGGTGTTCCGGACATGGATGAGGATTGCGAGCACTTTTTATTGGCCAGAACTGAGGGGCGATGTGCGCGACTACGTTGGGCGGTGTGATGAGTGCCAACGCACCAAGGCGGACGCACGTCGACCGGGCGGACTGCTTCAACCATTGCCGGTCCCCGCACGTATTTGGGAGGACATCACCATGGATTTTATCGAAGGGTTGCCACTCTCGAATGGGTTCAATGGAGTCATGGTGGTAGTCGACCGTCTTACCAAGTATGCACATTTTGTTCCACTTACTCATCCATACACGGCTATGTCTATAGCAAAATTATTTGTCGAATATGTGATGAAATTGCATGGGGTGCCGCGGTCAATTGTTTCCGACCGAGATCGGATATTTATGAGTAGTTTCTGGTCGGAGTTCTTTAAATTGCAGGGAACCGAGCTAAGCATGAGCTCAGCTTATCATCCACAAACCGACGGACAGACAGAGGTGACCAATCGCACGCTTGAACAGTACCTTAGGTGCTATGTACATCAATTTCCAAAGCGATGGGAGAATTATCTACCTTGGGCCGAGTATTTGTATAACACCACTTACCATAGCTCGACTAAGGCAACGCCGTTCGAGTTGGTGTATGGGCGCAAACCGCCGACGATCGTGAGTTACTCGATGGGGAGCGCCGTGAACGATGAGGTCGATCGAGAGTTGGTCGAGCGCGACTTGATGTTGCGCAAGCTAAAGCGGACTTTGGAAGGCTCGATCAACAGGATGAAGGCGTACCATGATGGCAAGCGGCGTGACGTGGATTTCGAGCCTAGGGACTGGGTGTACTTGAAGTTGAGGCCATTTCGACAAAGGACGGCCGCGCAAAGGGCCGCGACCAAGCTCGGAGTTCGATATTACGGGCCTTATAAAATTTTGGCCAAGGTTGGGAAGGTTGCCTATCGACTTGAGTTGCCGGACGGTTCTCATATCCATCCGGTCGTACACGTTTCACAACTCAAGCAAAAACTCGGCGAGGCGCATACGGCGAAGGATCGACTACCCGCGGTCGCGCCGGACGGGCAGGTTATGGTGCGGCCGAGCCGCGCGATGGAGTACCGACAAGTCAAAAAGGCTGGGAAATATTTTTGGGAGGTACTTGTCGAATGGGAAGACTTGCCGAGCGAGGAAGCAACGTGGCAAAGTTGGGACGAGATGCGCGGGATGTTTCCCGATTTCTTCCTTGAGGACAAGGAAGCACTTGAAGGGGACGGGAATGATGAGAACACGGCAAGGAGATTAAAGAATGCTGCGAGTCGCGCTTATCATGCACGACGGAGGTTAAGCTGACGGGCTGTCCAGGCCCAACTCATTAGCGGACATGCGCGCGCGGACGGTGACGCGCGCGAGAATCTCGGCCATCTCAACATTAGCGCGGGTACAAACGAGGAGGTTCACGCGCGAGCAAGCCTAACCACGAAAGGAGTAGGCGAGGCGGGCACGCGAGAGCAGCACGCGCGCAATGGCGGCTTGAATCGCAAGCAAGAGATATTCTAGATATTTACTTCCTTGTTTTCTAGTTTGTTTAGGACATCTAATATTTTATTGCTTTATTAGAGTTATAATTATATTAGGACTAGATATAGTTGATGCCTATATAAAGGCCCTCTCCCATGTTATTTTAAATGAATTAATTCTTCTTAATACAAAAACCGAACTTTGTTCAAACTCTTTGCTCTAGTTTTCTTCTTGAATTCTTTTGCAATTATAATCGTTAGAAAGGCCGCGAGTGTGCGACTTCCTAACACCTATCAAACGATTTAAGGCGCGGGAGCGGCTTGTCGGCAATCGAGACACACGGTCTTCATCAAGCAGCCTGCGCGCAAGCGCAGGCAGCAGCGGGCATGGGCAACACGCGCGCGCGGGCACAGGCCAGCTGGTGGGCAGCGCGCATGAACGACTTGCCGGGCAAGAAAAGAAGTTTCCTAGGAGTCTTTTGAGCTGATTATTCTCCCCTACTTGGAGTGCAAGTCAAGGCACAAGATCTCCTAGTTATTTAGTTTCCTTATTGCATTATAATATCTAGATTGGTTAGGATATTTAATATTTTATTGCTTTATTATTTTCCTAGGTAGAATAGACTTAGATCTAGTTAGTGCCTATATAAAGGCCCCTTTCCCCATGTTATTAATCATGGAATCATCCAAGAATTAATAAGAACTCAAGAACTTTTGTTCATCCTCTTTGCTTTAGATTTTCACCAAAAATTCTATAGCAATTATATCGTTTAGAGGGGTGCGGTTTGTGAACCTCTAGGCAACTATCGGCGATTCAAGGCACTGGTTTGTGGCTTATCGGCAGTCGAAACACACGATCCTCATCATTGGTGCTTTCATTGAGAGGTGTTGATCGTGTGTTTTTCTTCTACCCCATTCCCTTTCTTTTTCTTTTCTATTTTCGTTCCCCCCCTCATATATATATATAAAAAAAAAAAAATATCATCATCATCAACACGAGTCCTAGAAGCAAAGAGAAGAAAGCCATGGCCAACAAGGAGATGAAGGACAAGATCGATAATCTCGATGTTCAAGTCCGAAGTATGAGCGAGGCTATGAATACCCTAGGCGAGGGACTCGATACCACAAAGGCGTCCGTTCGTGAATTGATGGAGATCATGAACCGAAGGTTCGATGAGATGGCACGCAACATGTTGGCGCGCCAATCACCGCCCCGACGGCCCAATCGCGATCGGCCCGATCATGAGGGACGCCGCGAACGCGAGCATGATGATGACCAAGCACGACGATGCGAATATCGGGATCTCAAACGACGCCACGAGCGGCCCGAGGAGGAAGAACGGCAACGCAACGAGCGAGATCAAGAGGAGGACTTCGACCGGCGGTCCCAGGCGTCTTACTATCATGACCACCCGAAGCCCGAGAAGCCGAGGATCACACTGTCCACATTCAACGGCAACGATCCCGAGGCTTGGCTCAACCGAGCCGTTCAATTCTTTGATCTCAACGAGACCGAAGGACGTGATCGGGTAAGATACGCTGCCTATTACTTTGATGGAGAAGCCAACGTGTGGTGGCAGTGGCTTACTAGCGTATACCGGAGCCGACAGCGAGTCATCCGATGGAATGATTTCGAGCGCGAGGTACTCACGCGCTTCGGTTCATCCGATTACCACAATTACCACGAGGCGCTATCCCGCATACGACAGACCGGCAGCTTGCGTGACTATCTTAAGGAGTTCGAGCGATTGGCATTTCGCGTACG